CCACCCAGAAATTCCCAAAGTACCCCCCGGATCGTTGACGCATTGCATAAATTAACATATAGATTTACCCAAGCCGAAAAGCGGAGCTCCTTGTCTGGGTTGTTCAAAGCCCGATTAAGCTAACCCAGGATATAACGCAAACACTGATAAAAATAAAAAAAGACTGATAAAAATTAAAAAAAATGTTTGTTCAAAGTTTGAGAAGAGATAGCTGTGAATTATTTAATAGGGCCTTTCAAGACAAGCTAGAGACGAGCGTAAGCGTTGGATTACGGTAAAAGAACTCCAGAGGGGGTATTCATAACTGCTTAATTCATTATAAATTATTAATCTAATACTGAAGTAAATTTAGCCTTCACTTCAGTGTGTAAATTATACTTAACAAAATGATGTACTTGTTGGTACTTCTACCGTTTTCACTTACAAACTTCGGACACGGATTAAATCGTTTTACAGAGCCTCACTTCAAAGCAATTAATTTTGCAGAAGTTCTAAGAGGTCAAAGACTCAATGGGAGCGTCATAAAGGACTTCGCAGCGACTTCCGAAAGATCTTGTCAATTTGAATGCGTCGAAGACAATCGTTGTTTGTCATACAACTTTTTTCCTGTTCAAGGGAAATGTCAGCTAAGTAACGCGGATCGGTTTGTTGGTCGCGTAAACTTCACAAAGGAAGAAGACGTCTTGTACAGAGGAATACAGGTAACTGAAATTAAAATATTGGAATAACTTTCAGCCTCGTCGTTAGACCGAAAGAGGGAGAAAAAGAGTTTGAAGTTTGAAATTAAGAAATAAATGAAACGAAGAGGGCTATACAAGATATACTTTTTGGAAAACACTTTTATGAGTTTTCCACACAAAGATTTATTAGAGCTCACAAAAATGGTAAAAAGAATGTTCCTATAATTGCAATACGAACAGCTATAACAACCATTCTAGTACAAAACCTTGTCACGTTTGAAAATGATTAACGAAAAGGAATTATGTTCAACAACTCAGTCGCTGTTTTATGTTAGAGCACCTGCGAAAGACGCAATCCGTGCAAAGAAAACGAAGTATGTGATGCTGACTACAATACAGGCAGTCACTTTTGCAAGTGTTTCAAAGGTAAGTGTGCTAACATTTTTTTTTTTGCAGCCATTTTGAGGAGGAAGCAACGACTTGAAGCTTCAGTGTAAGAAACATCCAATAATGAGGTGACTAACAATAGATGGTTTGAAAGGGATTTGGAAAATTATCTCAAAACGACAAGCAAACTTTGTTGTCAAGTGCAATATATTCTGGACATATTTCAGGTTAATATTTCGGAAAGTCACAACTTTTAATTAAAAATAATCTTTCAAACATACATAATTAATACTTGTTTTGGTTTTCTTTGTGCATTTTTAATTTAAGAATGCCCTAGAAACTGTCGTGACCATTACCAAAACGGTTCCACCACTGACGGTGTGTATTGGGTTTACCCTGACAAACAAGAACCCATTCAAGTGCTGTGCGACATGACAAATGACGGCGGCGGTTGGACAACTTTTCAAAGGCGTATGGATGGATCCGTGGACTTCTTTCTCGACTGGGAATCGTACAAAAAAGGATTTGGAAATCTGAGAGGCGAGTTCTGGCTGGGAAATGATAATCTTCATCGCTTGACCGCATCTGCTAACATGGTAGTTCGATTTGATATGGAAGATTACGAAGGTGACCGAAGATATGCCGAATACACGACCTTTGCTGTGGCCGACGAGAGCGACGATTATCGGCTGACGGTCAACGGATACCAAGGCACGGCAGGAGATGCAGTGGTGTCTTCTAACAAACCCTTCAAGTATGCAGCAAGTATTAATCCACTCTTTGACAACAATACGCAGTGTATAATCAAATGAATACGTAATAATAACTAGTAATTTATCTAAAGTCGTGACACAGGGAGTGTTTGCCCATTCTCCCGAGACAGGGGTTCATGATAACAATGCGTGACCATGAAAATACAAAAAATTCAATCAAATACAAATAGGGAGGATAACCGAGCGCAAGAACCGTACTGGGGAATAATGACCTGAGGTCATGGCACCACGGATCGAGCGTAGCGAGGTCGGTTCTGTTATGTTGATATGTCATTATGTCACCAGTGTGAACCAGGCTAAAACAATCCACAACGGCGACCGC